AGTCAGTACCAATATAGGTCTATCATTGAATCTGGATAGACTATTTTTTATACTAGAAAGCCAACAAATAAATTCCGACCATTTTATTAGGGAAGAAATAGCAGCTGAAGACTACCACTTTCCCCCATTTGACGGCCACGAAACCCTCTCCTTTATCCGGGGAGCATGGTATATCACTCCGGGTCCACTGCCAAGTAATGGCAGAGGTCGGAGGCGTATCCATGGATGCATACCATCTTATTCGCAGGAATAAAATGAGGCTCCGAAATGATCAATCCCATGCCTTTCTTACAGACCCTCGCAATTAGATCCATCTCAATGGTTAATGTTGACTTGCGCCAACTTTGCCATCGAGAGAATCCACGAGCATATCCTCCGAAAGTGAAAGGAGGCCCCCTTCCCCCCCCCCCCAATCAGCCACCGTCACCATTTCTTCTTTCTTCACCTCTATCATTATGTGGAGGATACGTTAGTTCACCTGCAATTTTATCATCGCTATTATAAGAGGGAGTACTCCGCTGCACTCCATGATCGGCGTTCAAGCTACAACATGCGGCATGGCCCTGCAACCGAAGGACTGGTGGCTCTTCTGTCCAGTAAAACACGTGCCGGATCTGTCAACGACACTCTGTTTGTTCTCGTGTGACCGATCAAGTCAAACACCTATAACACTGGAGGCGGCGTCTAGCAAGAAAAAACACTCTTGCAGACGACAACCCCAGTCGTACATACATCCTTCTTGAGATAATTTCTTAAGAGTAGGACACTGTATCCAAAAAGAATTGAGATCACCGTGTCCAAGTGGCAATGGCCCAACTCTTATATCGCCACTCCTAAAGGGATTTCTACCCCCGTGAGCTTCTTAAGGACTTCGTAACCTATAACCGAGTGCTCGACATCGTAATCGGATACAAGGCGGATTCCGTATAAGGCGAACCATCGAAATCCAATCTTCGTGTTCCCTAAGGACAACTCTCAGTTTTCTAAGCAATTCGTCTGTTTTGGAACCCATATCCAGATACTTTTACAAGGATTCTGCCCTTTGGGCTCTCCTAATCCTGTCGGTAATGCCGATCTCCGCAAGGTTTTACTCCTGGAAAGTCCTACGATTTCGGCATAAGATGGGCCATTCTCGTTACATCTTATGAGGACAGCAGCCAACCTGAGCGTACGTATCCACGCACGTGTCAACAACACATATGTGTTGACTCCTGTTTTTAGATGAATATTTAACTAGTCCATTGCATATAATTATTATAATTATAGTTATTGAATCAATGAAGATTTGAAGAATTGAATTTAATATCACTTCAAAGTACATTATTTACAAATTCTGTTTTTGCAATACTGTGTTTCTAAATTCAAGTTCTCAATCAAGTTTCGTAAATCCTTTAATGCTACAAAAGGATAAATATAATAGGCTAATGAGAATCAGTAAATGTCATAATTATTTAGTGAACAATCAATAATTAGATGTTAGATTGATGTCTTCTTTATTTTGGACCATTCGATTCTCTTTGGAATCTTCTTCAGAGAAGAATGATACAAATATAATTAGTTCACATGTCCATAATGTTTAAGTCACTCGCAAATTAACAAAGATGCAGATGATTATTAATCTCACACATTTTTTTAAAAACAAATCTTATTAGAGTATAATAATATATGCGTAAACAATTTAAATGACTTACCGTTACGGAACATGAAGCATTGCACTGAAGCTTTATTGAACATGTTAAAACTTTAAAAGTAGAAATATTAAAATATAAAAATCACACATTTTTAGAACACACGTATATGCTCAACGTCGTATTGTAAAGATTGTGATGCATCTTATGTGTGACAACATGCAGGAAACTTTCCAGTAGAAAATCTGAACATCATAGACATAGAAATTAAAATACTGACACTCATTCTATAATTATTGAACATCGTATTGAATTTTCATATGACTTCGATTGGGAGAATGCTCAAATTTTAGACAAAGAGAAATTTTTGAACAAAAGATTGATTTCGGAAATGACATTCATACATATGCAAAAGAATGCCTTAATTTATGTTCAGTTATAGAAAGATTGCATCATACCTATGCAGCGATGCTTGAAAATTTCTCTTATATAATAACTTATTTAAATTTATAATTTATTAATTTAATTTGACAAAAGTTTTGTTAATTGACGAAAATGTAACAATTTTAACGAAATATATTGGGAGTACAAATTAATTCGGTCCGTTCAAAAATGTATTTATTTCAAAACAAAATGAATGAACAGATCAATTAAAGTATTGTCCATCGCTGCCTACTATTTTTTCCCTCTCAGGCAATTTTCGAATTCCATCTCGAAAAAATGATTCGTCTTTGGAGGCGATCCAATTTTGGAGCCAATTTTTGATTTCTGCGAAAGAAGTGACTTGTTGATCCTTCGGAACAACCAGTAATCAAAAGGAGTAATGTCCGGAGAATACAATGGATGCGATAAAATGTCCCATTTGAGCGTTTCCAAATATTTTTTTACCACTTTAGCGACAGAAAGAAATGTGGGATAAACGAAGAGGAAACTCAATATCAGAATAAATGAGCACATTAAAAATATAAAGCTTTATTCATCTAGGCATTCGGTTATAACAGAACGTATATTACAACACAATTTTGATTGGAAGATATCATTTGCGTTTATGGTATACTCTGTCACAGTCAAGATTGGTCTTGCAGCAATGAATGTAACTGATTCTAAATTCTATACTTTATATTTGTAATAGACTACTGCTAACTTATCATATATAATTTGTATTTGCCTTTGATGATTAATGTAAGTGTTGCATAATCTTTATTCTTTATTCCTTAATAATTATTGTATTTAATTTTGTTAATTGACATTATAAATTTAAGCATTTGTTATTTATATTTTAGTTGTATTTTTGTTCAAATGAAATGTTTATATATACACGTACATAAAGTTATAATTTATTATCGGTTTACTATATAGTTTTAAATTGAAATAATCCGTTAAAAAACTCAGAACAAAAGCACGATGTATAATACTTCGCTAATATTGTGAATTACAAAAACATTATATTTAACAAAACAATATACATACGTTTCAATCTTACATCAGGTCATTTTTAATATTAAAATATAAATGTTTATATTAAAATATAAATGACATAAAAATTCTAGAAACATCTAACGCATTACATATAAAACTTCAATATTTACGAAACAAATTGTGTAATCCAACAATCTTAATATGGCCGCAAAAAGTAATAGATTCTCCCCTTATATCTATCCATGGTGTCAATTCAGGAGTGCATCTTATTTTGATAAAAAGTATGTGTTCGGAATAATAATTTACCATGGTATATGGTTGTTGGATCTCTTATTGAACGCCTAAAGTTACACTTGTCATCAATTCGTGATGAAGTATATTGCTATGTAATATATGAAGTAATAATTGAAACTAAAGAGAATTTAACACAAATTAAAATGTCACACGATTTGTGTTATACCTGTACTACTACTAACAAAAATGATCAGAATTATAGCGCATAATAGTGTATAAAACAAACAGTGTTAAAATCAGAACTCCAAAGGTATATAAAATTTGCCATATACTTCCATGTCTCTTGAAAACTTATTTCGAACCAATACAGTATTAAGCAACGAAAAAATCATCAAAATGTGAGTGGTGCAAAAGTTGGAAGGGAAAAAATGACGGAAACATTCAGGAAGGGGAAAGTGCTTGCATAACGGGAGAGTATATTTCTGGTAACGATTCTGTGTCGCTTTGTAAATTAAGTCCATTCTTTTGTCTCTTTATAAAAATCATCTCGGAAGTCAATCTTTTGTTGTAAGATGATTCCCTATCTAAAATTTTAACCTTGTTCCAAAAAAGTTATGATCAAGTGAAATCCGGTGATTAGATGACACTTGGAGAGCCTGATTTTTTATTGATATCCGACGAATGCTCTGCAATTCTTGTTTTTAATTGCCTTTTTGTCTGGCCAGTGTATGATGCATCACAATCGTTGCATGAGATCCTATAAACAACATCATGATGTGATGCTGTCTCAAGAATATCTTTTCCAGTTGTGATGTATTTTTTCAGAGTATTCGGAATCATAAATGATTTTAAATTGACATTTCTAGCTATGTTGGAAAAAGATTCAGAGATGGTTCTTACAAAAGGTACAGTTAAGTATTTATTAGAGTCTTTAGTTCGAATTTTGGTGGACTTAATCTTATAAGAATGGAATTTAATTCTCTAGATTGCGGAGAATATAAAAGGATGAGGATATTCGTTTCTCAACAAAATCTGTATCCATCACTGTGAGGAATCCTGCAGTCGTTGAAAGGCTGATTTCGGATGACTCAAGGCAATCATTGCGTGTTCGGATGGATGTAGTGAAGCCGTGGATGGGAACTGTGGCGTCCGGAAGGCCATATGTTTTTCAGCAGGACGGTGCACTATCTCATACGAATCATTTAATTCAAAATTGACTCTCAGACAATGTCGATATGTTTTGTCCTCCCAACAGCCCAGATTTAAATCCCTTGCTTGGACTACTATGTATGGAACGTAATTGAAAGGATCACAAACAAGTCTCGGCATCCCAATGTGATGTCATTAAGAACCGCTATTGAGGCAGCATTCGTTGTCATGGACGCTACATTACAGCGTGCGTACGAACGCTTCATACAAGAATAGAGACCGTCATTCAAACTAATAAGAGATATATCGAATAATTGTGCTCTACAAGAATCCCTCAAGTGCTATGTAAAAGGATTTTTTTTAATCTTTAATTTTTCATTAAAAACATTTTGTTTAAAAAATTTGTTCGATTTGTCCGGATTTGGTGACGCACCCTGTGTATATGCATGTATGGTACATATGTAGTACGTATATAATTCACATTGGATTATTTAAAACATTAAAGATCCAACGGTCCTTTGACCGTTACAAGTTTTAATTTTCTTACTTGTTATCTATTCATATTGTGGTTTTAAATCATTTATTATTGTTTATTTATTTGTGTTTGATAAAGTGACAATAATAGGCGCCTCATCGTCCGCTTCTTCGAGTAAATTCGAAAAGTCCCACAAAAACTTGGCGGTCAATCGACCCTGTAAACGCTTGGCGTACGATTTCAATCGATCGTCCACCTCAGAATTTGACTCGATATTACCGAATAAGTTGCACAGATTATGATATACAAAATTATTGCTCGCTACAATATCGCAGAGTACTTCTTCTGGCACATACGATAATTCTTCTTCCAGAGTTTGCAGAAATTCCATATACATAGAGCGATATTGTGGAATCACGTTATCGGCGCCACAAATCAGTGATATAAGTTTCTTCCATTGCTCGAAAGCGTCCAAGCTCTGACCAGCTAGGAAGCAAATGAATGTCAGTTGCATTTCCCCGATAATTTCGACAGGTCTAAAACAATTGAACTTTAAATATTCACATAAAACTTGTTTTTTCTTACCAATCGCATTTTTCTTGCTTTTAGTCTTTAAGATCTAAAATTTCAATTCCGAACTTACTCTCGCAATTTTTTTAAAGTGATATCTAAAACATAACTAGTATCAAGAGAATGCCGTGTTATCTCGCTTGGAGTCGCATCGTCAGGATAATGTCTATCTGGTATTTCTGTAAGCCTGAGTTCTGTACCAGACTTCGGTTTCAGATTCGGCATCATCTGCTCCTCCTTCGCCGTGAGTATACTGGAATTTTTTCGTTTGCTATCTCGGCCACGTGGTCTCGAAGCATCGTGCTCCAATTCCAAAGCGGATCGCACATAACTAAAACATATTATTTCAATAGAGCTATACATTAAGTTTCAAAATTTCAAGTAGACAAGACTTATATTTTACTTACCCACATAATGGCGAACACCTCGTCATGATAGATGCAGTAATGTCATTTGTTAATTTTGTCCAAGATTTCGATATTTCGTATGGATATGATCCTAAATATCTGTTCAACTCTTTTATGTTATCTTTCAACCTCTGAATCGTCTCGTCAGGTACAGCTGTTTGAAAATTTCATGTAAAATTGAATCTCGCATTATTAATAATAATCCTGATTACTTACATTCTGAACTAACAACTTCTTTTTTGTTATCCCATTTTTTCACTAAGAATTCACCTTTCTGGAAGTCATGAAAGAAACCAACTCTAGGTGCCAACTCATCAAATTCATTTGCTGCACTATAAAAATATTGAATTATTCAGTGAATTTAAATAATTATGTCTATATACAATTTAAATAATTATGTCTATACAAGAAAATAGAAGTCATACAAGAAAATACATAATTTTATACACATAATGATATCTCTTGATATAAAATTTAGAATTTACTGACATTCATATGTGAATTTGATCAGTTGTATTAAAACAAATATGATATTAGAATGCTAAAAACTGTTACATATAAAATCAGCTATGTTAAAAGTATATATAGGACGTTTCGCGTCAAGTGGACTCTCTCCTTCCAAAATTTGACGCAACGGAAAAAAACGTCTCAAAATATTCGCACATTTGTATACTTTCAAATGAAATGTTGTTTTTTAAAAAATTCAATATGGCGATTAAAATATAATGTTTGAAATCCGCAAAAGTCACGAATCTTACATCATCGATTTAAATGCGAAAACTTGATTATTCGGCTTGAAAATGATTAATATAAATGATTACGAATCTAGAGATAGAATTATAAAGTTCAACATGGCGGATTTGGAATCAGTATATAAAACTTAAAGTATCATAATTCATAATTGTTGTTTATGTCAAGTCTAATACTTTACAGCGACCATTGGTTCAATGGCAGAGTGTCGCATTACTTGCAAGTTAAACAATAAGTATAACTTATCCAATCATTCATAGTAATCATTTTCAAACTGATTTGTCAAGTTTTCGCATTTAAATTAACGATGTTGTAAGAATATTCATGACTTTTGCGGATTTCAGACATCATATTTGAGCTGATTTTTTCAAAAGGCCACGTTTCATTCAAAAGTTACACAAATGTGCGAATAGTTTAAGACCTTAAACGTTTTTTTCCGTTGTGTCAAATTTTGGAAGGAGAAGTGATCCGTTGAACGCGAAACATTTCATATATTAGGTATACAACTTTGCTTCCGCCGTTTTCCTATAAATGGCTTTAGCGATAAGTAGTGGTCGAAATAAATAGATCATAGACGTCATAGAATAAACTTGGGCATCTGTCAACATAATCCCATAGAAATATTAGTCGATTTGTGTCTGCATCATAAAGTTATTCTCGATTGAAAATGTCAGTTTACGAGCCAAATTCTCGTCATTTGCGGGAGGTTTTAATTTTTTGCTTCAATATGAAGAAATCTGCGGCTGAGGCTCATCGAATGCTCTCAAATACTTATGATGAGGCCGCTATTAGTGAAAGAACGTGTCGTGAGTGGTTTCAACGCTTCAAGAACGGTGATTTTGACGTCCAAGGTCATGCTCTGTATTTGGTGAGACCAGCTCAGTAGTGTATTATGAACTGTTAAAACCGACTGAAACAATCACAGGCGGTCGGTATCGAACGCAATTGATGCGTTTGAGCCGAGCATTGAAAGACAAACGACCGCAATACAACGAGAGACACGATAAAGTGATTTTGCAGCATGACAATGCTCGACCCTATGTTGCGAAAGTGATCAAGACATACTTGGAAACGTTGAAATGGGAAGTC